AAGTTGACTATACCGGAAGTTTTTCTAGCACCTTTTATGACTTTTATTAGCTTCATTTAAGTGTTAACTACAAAGATTTATTTCTTATTTACCTTTTTTTACCATTTATACTACCAGTACCAATTTCGGGTGACTGTCAAATAATCACAAAAATTGAAGATCTGTAAAATTATTGATTTTCGACCATAGATACATACATAATATATGGGGTGTTTCAAATTTGACTCACTATTCGGATAAGTCGGTTCAATGCCGCAAAGTTGCACATTTATCAAACGAAATTTATTGCATTTTAGGTAGGGATGAACACTTTGTAAAGGTAAAAATCGATGTATCGATATATCGATATTACAAAAAAAAAGCGATGTTTAAAATAAAAACATCGCCTTGGAAGCATCGATGTTTCCTGAGTATGTGAATGAAATGAGTTTAATGCCTTAGTAAATATCTAAAGTATATTGTATCCCAGTTTATTTTATCTTTTAGCCTATTAATATATTTCAGCAACAAAAGTGAAAGCGGGACAATTCATTTACTAGTACCGAAAATTACAAATAGCCGTTCTTCAAACATCGAAAAACTAAACATGATGCTCTCATCCGTCGGACCAAAATACAGCCAACCATGGAGAGCTTTTTCGTGCTTTTGGCAACTCATCAGCATGGTCTCGGCTTGCTCTCTCGTCGCTAAGGCAACGAACGAAAGCATCGTAACTATCCTCTATCCAGGAGGCACGATCTGTCGAAATAAGACAGCGCAAAGCTCCATCTATCACCTGAATCGATTACTGCGGAGAACGGATAGCAGCTATCTGTTGGAACTGAAAAGATTCTCAGTTCGCGTTTAATAGCTAAGTCTCCTTGTGACCGCTAGATGGCTGATGATTCTGGCTATATAGTCGATGTGGTCTACTTGCTATTGAATAAACTAAACTAACGCGAACTGAGATCTTTACAGTTCCAACAAATAACTGCTATGCGCTCTCCGCAGTGGTCAATTCTTGTGATAGATGGCGCTTTGCGCTGGCTTACTTCGATAGAATGTGCCTCCTGGATAGAGGATAGTTGCGATGCTTCCGTTCGTTGTACTAAAGACGAGAGGAGAAACCTCGACCATGCTGATGAGTACCCAAAAAGCACGAAACAATTATCCATGGTTAGCTGCCTTTTGGTCGAACGGATGAAAGCATCATTAGTTTATTCAATGGCAAGTAGACCATTTTAGACTGGGTTATTAAACGCGAACTGAGAATCTTTCACACTTCCAACAAATAGCTGCTATGCGCTCCCCGCAGTGTTCGATTCTGGTGATGGCTGTCTTACAAAACATCGATGTAAAACAACGTATGAAATGACATCGATGTTTTTTTATTGTTTCAGATTACATTTATATCTGCATCCGTGATTTTAGGTTCACTATTACGCTGTTGAAGGGAAATGGCGAATTCCCAGAAACCCTGTCATAATAGAATTTCTGAGTTGAAAATGGGTACACTAGTTAAACGATCAAATAAGGGTGTGCGAAATGTTTCAATGCCTTATTAAAGGTGGTGCTATTAACTTTTTTTACACTTATACGTTGCTTATTTAAATGCCAGGCAGTAATAGTTCACGAGTCACATTTAATATTCAGAGCATGCCTTTTCTGCCTGTCACGATTTATTCAAGTCCAATCATCATGAAATAATTCGAGAGCTAATGCAAAATGAGTAGGTACATTGTAATGCAACAAAGTTACTCAAACAACTCCAATCCAACTCTGTGTAACTTCCGCTACAACGTAGATCTATTATCGTGGAAACGTTACACTATTTTTAGTCAAGTCAGTTTCTGTTTATATGGAAGGTGGGTGGGGTATTGAGCGCCGCGTGAAATCATCCATTACATGATTATAAATAATGGTTTTTTCTTTACTACGATAATTATACTTGATTTATATTTATCGCAAAATACTGAGGTATAGCACTTCAATCAAACAGCGGCGTTATACTTACATTGTTATATTTTTGTTTATTATTATTTTATTTTCTACATTTATACAAGTAACCGTTGTTACTATTTATTTCAGGAACGAATCGTATATGCTTTTCTTACACTTTTACTTTTACTTCCCATGCTCCTACAGAGGAACTGTTGTAATCGCAATTTTTTTAAGAATTAGATATGATGGTTTTTTGATATTGACATGATATGTCATTCATTTCCGTCGGTCTGTTTGTCTGTCCGCTAATCGTTGACCCCGCTATAGCTTGGAAAGTACCACTCGGATGTTGATGAAATTTTGACTATTCCAAGGAAGAAAAAGCTTTGTAGTTTTTGGAAATTCAACCGTTGGAGGTAAAGCTGCAGGCCAAAAACGAAAAGAAAAATCGCTCATAATTCGTTTTTTTAACGTCTCAGAGGCCTCAAATCAATTTCAGGAAAATTTTGTCCATGATTTGATTCCGGTAATCCTAATATTTTTGAAATCTGAAACTCTCTTTTGCGAAAAAATATCAGTCCGATTCAGGATTTACAGTGGCGAGAAGGGATCAGGGATTGCCGGATAGTCCGACCGAAATGAGAAAAACATAATTTCAAAATTATTACAAATAATTTCTGATTATAATACTTTCCGGTCAATCGGCGTGAGAAGAAGAAATGGGAAACAGTGTTTAATACATTCGCTTATGATTCTTCACATTGCTCGTGCCATCTATAGATGCCTATTATAAATTTAATATTGAAGGGTTCAGTAATTGCAGCATTTACAAGACCCCGGTTGGAAAGCTCCTAGTATCAAAAAAAGCTTTAATAAAGGTCAATTGAACATAGGAAGAAACACAACTGAACTAATTAAAATGGACAACGGGCGAAATCCTAGTATTCAGCAACAGGCGACATGACATTTTCGAGAGGTTAACACGCTCCAGCAGTTGTAATTCTCGGACCATCATTTTCAGTTGCGAAAAGCAACTAATCGATATATCGACGCGACCCATTCCAGTGGCAGAGATGATTGTATTCCTATCTATCACCTTCCAAAGACAAGCGCCACGTACAGATGTCGTCTGTTTAAACTCAAGTTTACAAACTTGAACTGAGTGGCAATATTAGTATTTTTCAAGACCCGGCGTCGTCAATCGCAGTTTATATAAGTTTCGACAAGTCACAACATGAAATCCGCGTGCACCCCCGCCGCCCTCCGCTTAACATTCATCACTTAGGCCCGTATCGTCAGTCGTCCCTACAATTTTAGATCGCCTTTATGGCCTCCTTGATTGTCATAGTTTTCTATTTCTCCGTGTCAGCGCTCTATTTTGAGGTTATGTCACAAACATCTATTTGCATCAAATTGTGCTTGCTTTTGAGTTATATCATGTTTTATCAGCCTGAAATTTCCTACAATTTAAAAAGAAAACATATCTTCACAATAGGAGAGCCCTGACGTTGACGGGACAGGTGCAATCTAGAAATTTTTGAGGGAGAGAAAGGAGTGTGACAATCAATGAGGCCATACTGCAATATTATATGAAGGCACTGACTGGTCTGATCTGAAAAATGTAATTGAAAATGATTTTATCAAAATTATTCGGTGGTTTAACAGTAGAAAATTAAGCATTAACTACTCTAAAACACATTTTTTACCATTTGGATCTTATGCTAGACATCTGCCAAATTACACAAATTTCTCCTTCAACATAAATGATTAAAAGATGCAAATTAATAGAGTGCCCAACATAAAATACCTTGGAGTGGTCTTGGATCCTCACTTACGATGGGACATCCGTGTCAATTATATTTTAAAGAAAGTTAGATTTGTATCCTACAAAATTAAATAACTTGGGAACATATTGACAGAAAAATATCTTCGAACATTATACCATGCACTGATTGAGCCTCATCTCACATATGGTATATTAGCATGGGGAGCTGCATGTTCCTCACATATCTATAATTTAGATGATTTTCAAAAAAGGATTCTAAAAATGATATTTAAAAAACCGAAACTTTATCCCACTGAAAAATTATACGCAGATGTTCGAATGTATGATATAAGACAGCTTTATTTCTTACACAGTATCACTCACTACCATAAATTTGTAAACACCGACCAAAAAATTAAACATAATCATTATGCCAGGCACAAAATTCGTGGCACAGTAGTTCCTTAACCGCATAAATCTATAATGCAGCGATCATATGTATCTAAATTTTATGAAATTATACCTAAAGACTTAAAAGATTTACGTTTCGGAAATTGTTTCAAAAGAAATTTAAAAAAGTGGCTACATTCTATATCTAGGACTGAAATTCATAAACTCATAAATACGAACATCAACTAAATACATAATATACTGTAGCTAATTTTTGTCCTTTTTTGTCATTTGCATTCTACAGTTTCAACTTAAGTTATTGGTCCATGTACAGGCGATGCCTTCTATTGGGCCTGTTTTGATTTTATGTTTATTTACTCATATTGTTTGTTATCTTTGTACATTGAGTGAATAAATATTACTATTATTATTATAAACGCGCCCTACTATTGTAGGAATGACTGACGATACGTACCTACCAGACGCGGATGAGCATCTGTGACATTCATTCCCACAAACTTGCGAAAATTTGGACGTTTCGATGTACATGTTTTGTTGAGAAATCTGTTTGAGTGAGTCAAATTATTGTGTCTCACTGTTAAAAGGTAAGTTTGTATATTTACAAACTTCAGTTACCATTTTTATTTAATTTGCTAAATTGTTGATTGAGTGGAGATGCGTTCATAGATCGGCCATTGTGACTTTTTTACCACGAACTTTAAGTACCTAATATTGATTCCAAATATATTTAAAATTACTACTATAACGTCAACCTGCCTACAAAAATATAAATCTCCCGGTGGCCAATATACTGTTGAATACATTACGTTATTAAGATAAAATAATGGGCATATAATTAGTAATTACATGTTAGTATTTTGCTTATTTATTTATTACTTATTTGTTTTATTGTTATAAGTGCAAAATGGCAGCGAAAAAAAGAAAGTTTTCCGAAGATTACGTTAAGTTTGGATTTACCTTCATAGAAAAAGACGAGCTACAATTGCCTCAGTGTGTGATACGTATGAAAATTTTAAGTAATGATAACCGTGACACTTGAAAGGCATTTGAAGCAACAACATCCTACTCTGGTTTTGAAGACGAAAGAGTTTTTTTCTTCTGAAGCAGAATCACTCAAGCGGATGAGACTGGATAAATCGGGAAGTTAACACACAGGTGCATCGCAGCATCTCAAAGCTTCATTTGAAATAGCTTTTATGATAGCAAAGCAAAAGAAACCTCATACTATCGGTGAATAACTAATAAAACCATGTGTCCTAAAAGCCACGCAGATAATTTTAGGGAAAGATGCAGAGCAAAAAATGTTTATTTCTCTTTCAAATAACACAGTCAAGCGTGGAATCGATGACATTGCAGCAGACATAAAGTCACAAATAATTAACAAACTAAAATTCTCGCCATTTTTTGTTCGTTACATCGGCGGAGATATCATTCAAGAAGAGATTTTGTACTTCCAATCTTTGACAGCAGGTACTACATCTGAAGATATATTTAATTCAATATCAAATTTTGTTGAAAAAAATTATTTGGATTGGAAGAAACTCATTGGACTTTGCACAGATGGCGCACCTGCAATGATATGTGTACGATCGGGCTTAGCTAAAAAATCCCGCATTGGTTAGTACACATTGTGTTATTCATCGGCAAGCTTTGGCTTCCAAAACATTGCCACAGAAATTGCGCCAGACTTTGGACTCGGCTATAAAGATTGTAAACTGCATCAAGAGCAGCGCTTTGAACAGTCGGTTATTTACTTTACTTTGCGAGGATCTCGATTCCGATCACTTCTTCTGTTCCATACAGAAGTACGCTGGCTGCCCAAAGGTAACATTATGGCTCGCCTTTATGCATTGAAAGAAGAGGTAATTATTTTTCTTGAGTTCAACTAAAACATGATTGCCTGAAAATGTTCAAAGATGACCCATTTCAATGGAGGTTTGCTTATTTAACTGACATATTTGACTCCTTGAATGAGCTGAACTTGAAACTTCAGGGCAGAAACAACACTATAATAAGCAATTATGATTATATTCAGGGCTTCATATCAAAGCTTCAACTTTGGAAACAAAAAGTGTCTTCTGAAAATGTTATATCTTTTTCTCGGCAATTAAAAATAACATACTGGAGGCAAATTTAAAAGCTGACATAAAAACTCATTTGCAAGCGCTGGAAGACGAATTTCGCCGATACCATCGAGACATCAATTCAGAGTCACCAATATGACTCCTGACAAGAAATCCATTTGTTGTCGATGTGTCACAATTACCGGAAGAAGTTCAGGAGGAATTTCTAGAAATGAAGGCTGATTCGTCCATGAAAGATGACTTCCATCTTTTAACATTGGAAAAATTTTTGATCAAAAGATTGCCTGTTAATTCGACACTTGCCTCTCTTGCTTTACGAATACTAGTTCCTTTTTCTTCAACGTATTTATATGAGACAGACTTTTCTGCTCTAGTTTTAATTAGAACTAAACAGCGAAATCGTCTTGATCTCGATAGCGACCTGATGGTAGCTCTGGCAAAAGCAGAACCTAGAATCAACCAACTGGTACAGAACATGCAATCTCAAGTGTCTCATTAGTACCTACTCTTATTTTATTATTATTTTTCGATAAAAAACATGTATTAGTTTATTTAAACCTTTAAAGTTTCTTTATTAGAATTAACATAAAAGTCTTTGTACCTATATAAAGTGCGTTTTTTTATTTATTGAAAAAGTAAAGGGGGACATGAAAATATAATTTATAGTCCGGGGACCCTCAACAAAAAAAAGGTTGGCAAATCCTGATCTAGAGTGAACCCAACCTTTGGCACCGGCAGACGTGGTGTTATGCACTGAAAACCAAATTTGTCTGACGGCTCGAGTTAAATGAGTACGAGAGAGAAGTGTGCAGAGACACATAATATGTTAGAAAGAGATAGAAGCCAGCTGGATATCGAAGCTCATCATTACGTTGCTTAGCAAGGCTGATGCGACAATCTGCCAATGCTGCACCAGTTCCTTGAATTAAGATGCATGTTGAAAATATGCGTTAGTTTATTCTCTATGCCCAAATAATGGTTTTACTTTGAATTGTGAGTTGTGTCGAAATTGCATAAGATTAATTCCGAATCGTTCCCACCGGCGCTTCATTTTAGTTCGCTTGACAACACTGCATCTTGTACAATCCAAGGCAAGGTTTCCACCTCCATGATCATAAATGAGCGATTTTCGTCAGTACCCATCTAGCGCTCGTTGGGGCATGTCATCCTGCTTCGAAATAACTTTCACCTGCGTACAGGCAGGCAGTGTTAATTTGTTTTGCGTAATGCATGAATTGTGTTCTCATAAAAACTGTATTGGCCATGCTCTCGCATGTTCTGTTTTGTATTGCATATCATGTTATATATATATATATATATAGGTGAAAAATTAAAGCTTCCGCCTTTTGTTGGGTACTTCGACAAAAATCTTAAGCATAGAGGACTCTTTATACTTTTTTTTATTCTCTCTAGCTTTCAATGGACTTTGCCATCATCATCAGGAGCTGCAATTACATTGATAACAGTAGCAACAATAGTGTAAAATGAATTTAAATTAACTTAACTTACAGTACTATGTGAGTATGTTGCTAATTATTGTTGTTTACGTTCAGGATGAGGGAAACACCCAGTAACATGGTGAAAGCTGGATAAATGGTACAATGGTCAAAATTATATAAAATACACACAACTGTGTGACAAGAACAAGTTAAAAACAGATTGAAAATTTTTAGAACATGAAAGCATTACATCGTGAAGTCACTTGATGATTGCACAAAATGGTGGGCATGGAATAATGAGTAAGATGAACCCTTTGACAGATGGCCGAAGGTTGTTAGTGTCTGTGATAGAACGTCAGTGATATTTGGATTTCTCTGTATATACCCCATTGCTCTACGAGATGACGACAGAATGACGTGGTACTCCGCTTTTTAATATAAATATGCTCCCGCGGATGCTTCATTATAAGAAAAACGAATAAAAGAAATTATTTAGATACTATTGTCTACTCCACTGGAATGTATATAGTCAAAAATAGAACTCCTTTCGTGTAAGCTTATTCGCTAATAGCTTTTAAATGCGTTTTATGGGGTTTTCATTTTTATTTAACCAGGGCAATAAGTAATAGATGGTAATATGTATCGGAACATTAATTATCTTGACTATGTTACGTAGTACTTTAAAGTAGATATTATTCTAAAGAGGTATACTTCAATCACAAAAGAAAGTGTACCGTTTTGCTGCGAGAAAATATGTTTTCAAGAAACTCTGAAAAAATTTATAATTAAGGAAATATGAATATATCTCAAAAACGGTAGTAAGACCAACAGCGGGATAGGGGGAGCACACTACTTTTTCTTAATGTAACTGATGCCAAGGTAGACAGTGCAAATAAGTACTGATTCGATATCTCCATGTAACAGAAGGTCTGCTCCACCAAGTGCACTCAACCTGGCTCAGCTACACGCCGCCAGAATACATCCCCTCATCTTTGGCCAGCCGCGATTAAACCGCTCAGTTAACGCTTGACCGAATGGGAACTGAGCCGTTTAATCGCGGCTCGCCAGAGGTGAGCCTATGTATTACCACTCAGTGGCACAAATCGTCTGTTAAGCAGATGTATCCGCTTTTTCATATGAGAATCGGATCAGAAGGTCTGCGAGGATATTATATACTAAGTGACATCCGAACACCCAGTTTAAATGGTTTTATTTTAATAAAAGTTGGTGAATGTATGTATCTTACTGTAAATAACAAGCGAAAAAATTGGACATTCCGGTTTTTATACTGCTTTTTTTTAATTCACTAACGCTCTAAAAATGAATATTTCAGCCGCAGTAAAGAATCAACGTTGGCGGATTTTGGTTCTTGACATCCTTTACGATCGGTTACGATGCCTAGAGTACGGAGACCTGTACGATTTTGTCAACTTAGTGCGTTTGATAGGGGCCGTATAGTGGGACTTCGGGAAGCTGGACTTTCTTTTCGGGCAATTGCAGTTACAGTGCAAAGAAGTGTAGACACTGTGGTTAGGTGTTGTCAGGCATGGCTTCGAGAAGACCGTACGCAAAGAGCAAGGGGCACTGGACGCCACCCTAGAACAACAGACCGTGAAGATCGCCGCCTAAGATTATTGGCCTTAAGGGACCGTTTCTCCACTACCAGGTCCATTGCAAATGAATTGTTTGCAGAATATGGAAGACCTATTGGCATGCGAAGTGTTTACCGACGAATGAAGAGTTTTGGCTTGTTTTCATACTGGTCACACTGGGTCCTCCCTTTAACTCGAGAACACCGACGTAATCGCCTTGAGTGGTGCAGACAACGGTCACTCTGGGATCAGGAATGGAACAGTATTGTCTTTAGTGACGAGTCTCGATTTTGTTTAGGCATGCACGATGGTCGTGCCAGGGTTAGAAGGCGACGTGGTGAAAGGAGGAATCCACAGTTTATTGTTGAAAGACATGTTCATCACACTGTTGGAGTTATGGTTTGGGGTGCTATAGCTTATGGTTCCAGGTCACTTTTAATCTTCATCAGAGGTAACATGAACGCGCAGCGTTATATCCCCGAAGTTCTAGAACCCCATCTTTTACCCTATCTTGACACCCTGGCAGATCCAACTTTCCAACAAGATAATGCCCGACCACATGTTGCAAGAGTCACAATAGACTTCTTTCAACATAATGATGTCACATTGTTACCATGGCCACCAAGATCTCCCGACTTATCCCCAATTGAGCACGTGTGGGATATGATGGGTATGAGATTGCTGCAATTTGCAACGTCCTCCTCAGACTCTAGAAGCACTTCGAGAGGAGTTGGTGGTTGCCTGGAATCAGATATCACAGGAAGACATTGACCACCTGATCAGAAGCATGCCTAGGCGCGTTGGAGAATGCGTAGCACATCTGGGTGCATCCACGCATTATTAAGGGTCAAAGGGCTTTAAAGCAGTGCAATCATTTTGAAATTTTTATCATTTACTTATTATGCTTCATTAAGTACTTATACAAAATTTTATTAAAATAAAACCATTTAAACTGGGTGTTCGGATTTATATGTCACTCATTATAATACAGGTTTCGAATGAGGCGGTGGAATTGTGGATTATGTGCTGGATTTTGTTTTTGTTTGTCTTCTAGCTGCTTTGAGGGTATGCGTACAGAAAAATGGTACCTATTTGTATAATCCCTACTATCAATAACAATCCATTGATACGCTACTGTTTTTGTGAAGATTCCAAACTTTGGTTCTGTTACCAAGCTAATTACTTGGAAAGTAATCATCGGAATTCCGACAAAAACCACAGATACACGTTTTTTTATAGTGGGACAGTCAGTTTCTGTATTATTTTTTTATTCACAATTTTTCATTGTTGTATTGTAAGATAGAATGAATAGTACTGTTGGCGCCATCTGTTGGGGACCGCACCAGACTCTCCTACTCGCCAGAGCTTCACGGCCGATCTCTGTTTTTACGCGGATCGCGACATCTGTTGAAGACCGTGCCAGTGACTCGCCTTAGAGATCGACGCGAAGTGACCTCGACGATTCTGGAATGCCGTTTTGTGGCTCACCGGAATCGACTCAATGAGTACCTATGATGCGGACTATACAGGGACGGTCGGAAGATGGAAACAACGTAGGGTAGATCAGAGTAGAGTATAGTTCAGTGAATGGCGCGACATAATAATTCGTAAATAAATAATCAGACATAAATAGTGGTCTACATAAATGTTCTATCTAGTCAAGTTAAATAAATTAGTTCATTTCTTTTTGTGGAATCCAGTGTTTTACTCCACACCCAAAAGAACCCAGAAAAAAAACG